TCTTGTAACGAGTGCTATCAACTCTGTGAGACGGTGAAGAGGATCGTAATTCGCCACGCGCGGCGTTTTCATAACTCGTTTTAACCTGTCGAATGGAGCACCGGACTTCATGTAGACCCCGTCATCGTAGACACTCATTACTGTTTTCGGTCCTTAATTGCATGTTGTCGCCATCTACTGCCTGAAACCATCGTCCTTTGCGGGCGGGACGTCGCACGCGACGCCCAGCAGCGCGGCAAATTACGATCCTCTTGTCACATACCCGTCAACTCTTGTAAACTCATGATGAAACCCATTTTATGATCTTACAAGAGTTGACAGATTTCACCATGGTGGTTCGATGAGCTTGCTCCTGCTTTACAAGAGCACAAGTTTTACCAGAGTGAGATTGTGGGGTATGTGACAAGAGGATCGTAATTCGCCGCGCTGCTGGGCGTCGCGTGCGACGTCTCGTCTGCAAAGGACGATGGTTCCAGGTAGTAGATGGCGACAACATGCAATTAAGGACCGAAAACAGTAATGACTGTCTACGATGACGGGGTCTACATGAAGTCCGGTGCTCCATTCGACAGGTTAAAACGAGTTATGAAAACGCCGCGCGTGGCGGTGCGGCGAATTACGATCCTCTTCACCGTCTCCCGAGATTGTGAACCTGAAATGGCGAAACAGCAAATAGGCGAAATACCCCCTCCCTGTCGCTGAGCTGTATATAATGAACGCAATACGCCTGGCTATTCAGCTTTTTTCGCTGTTTCATCTTCGCTTGAATTTATAGGATACGCTGATGTCTAAATCAGTGACTTCGGAACGAAAGAGAAGACGGTTCGAAGTAGAATGGGAAGGTGAAGACGAAGGTAAGTAGGAAATGCGGTGCTAACGTAGTTGGGAGGGGCCACGCGGCTGGCGAGTGATGACTCATCGGCTCTTCACTCATTGACATACTTGGAGCGTTAATCTAGCAGCAAAATTAGAATAAAACAAACAAGATTCACCGGAAACTTGCTGAGAAATCCCACAGAAGCTGAAAACAACAAATGTTTGATCTTTTATAGTCAAGAATCAACAAAAAGGCAAAGAGTCAGAGGATCACAATCAGAGGGCAAAGTGTGGTAAACATACCAACATTGGTCACATCCAATCGTCCCCCGAGAGATGCGGTAACGCGTCCGTTGCACGCGGCGTATCGTGCGGCAACGCAAGAAGAATTCTCATTTTGCATTAGTTCGACTGTAACTGCGAAACTCGTGTGAATTCAAATGAAGATAAGATTCCGTGATGGTCAATATCGAATTTCCCCGTCCCTTCAACCTCAGTTTCAAACGGCTAGGCAGGCCAGCTCGTCCATGGTGTACGGCGTCGCTCTCCACCCCTTTAGAGCATCATATTACGGTTGCATAGTTTACATACCCTCTTCCTCCGAGGCTAAGTCAGGTCACGTGACAGAGCGACAAAGTTTGTAGTCGTTTTCGCTGCAGTGGCGAAAGCGTGCCAGAGTTACTGGATTTCCTCTTCCCACCAATTGTTGTCGCTTGTCGGCTTCAATAATTGGTGGAGAACGGACTGGCGCCGCTTCAAATCCGCCCCCCCCCCCCCCCCCCCTGCTAACGCAAGCGGCCCGAGCTACGTGTATGGATGATTCTTCTTCCGTTCGATTCTTGCTTTAACCGAAATTAATAGATGTTTCAGACCTGCGAACACGCGTCTTGATGTCAGATAACTATACGACGGCGCGATACCGTATGCTTATGATTTCGGCAATAAGGAAAGATATCAGTGATGAGTTCAAACAGGTGAAGATGCCATACCTTCTTTCTCAGGAATATGTAACTGAATTTTTGCTTTTTTTTAAATACCATGCCCACAGTTTTTAGCTACTCGAACTACAGATGAAAGTCAAGTTCGGGGAGTATGATGACGCTATCAGTTACTTGAACGAAGTGTGAGTAATGCCTCTCTTCCCTCTAGAAATGCAGGATTAACCTATATTCAGCACGTTCCAGAGTTCGTGACAACCGGGATTTTATCTTCAAAGTTATAGAAATGGTTGCTGATGAATATGAGCAACGAGGAGTAGAAAATATGGAAGGATATGGATGTGAGTGAGATACTTTGGCCGTTTGAAAAAGGCATATTTAGGACCTCGGTGCTTTCCACCTACGCATAGCAATTTTTTCCCCGCCTCCGACATTCTCCCTAACATAAGATAGCGACTGGATTTTTCATATTTGTTTTGTTGCTTTTCTCTTGTACACTACAGTTTCACTCTGTGCACATATCGACTACTATAGATATGCACAGATACAGTCCTCGTCATTACGTACTGTCGGGCGCCAGCCGCGCTGCACTGTGACGCGACAGCGGCTCGGTGACGGTGAATCAGCTGATTTCGATGGAATTCGGCTGCAAATTCCCACTTTTTCAGCTCTTCAAGCTTCGAAAGTGGAAGGTGAGTTATTTTGAACAATTTTAATTGTACTGACTCTGAATGAATCTGAAAGAATGTAAGCCATTTGAATAAATGCCTGAAATAAGGCAAAATACAAGGAAAAGAGCATATAATCGACATAAAAATAAAGGAAATCAGAGCCAGTACAATTCAAAATTGTTCAGAATAACTCACCTTCCACTTTAGAAGCTTGAAGAGCTGAAAAAGTGGGAATTTGCAGCCGAATTCCATCGAAATCAGCTGATTCACCGTCACCGAGCCGCAGCCGCTGTCGCGTCACAGTGCAGCGCGGCTGTGGCCGCGACAATACGTAATGATGAGGACTGTACACTAGGCTCCGCCCCAGACAGCCCGCCCACTTCACTGACAAGTTTGCTGACAGTCACAAATATCTCTCTTTTCCTGATCCTACGGAGTTAGGAAAACATTCCTGATAGAATGCAATCAAAACCCTGGAACTGATTCGCGAAACAAAACTCCTGAAAAGATTTTAGTAAAATGCTCTCCACTCTGCCTTTTCCAAACCTTGGTACTGGGTTTCAGGCTTTTTTCAAAACTACGAGATTGATCAGGGCGTGGCACTGTTCCGAAAAGCAGCAGATGCTAATCCGAAAAAAGCCTCTGCGGTACTGCTAGCGTTTCTCGCAATGCGTCCACAGGCCTTCAACGCTGTTTCGGTGATTTTTTTTACTATATTCAGATTTTTTATTGGTTTTTAAGCATGAGCTTTTTCTTCATTACTATCTTCTTACTCTACCATTGTCATCCAGCATTTTAGGGTATTTTGATGGACACATTGCATAAGTCTCCAGAGCCGCCACATGGTCTTTGTGAGTTTTGCTGAAAAGTTCTAGTAACTTGCCAAAGTCCTTTTCTTTTGATTAGCTGTAGTAGTTTCAGTGGTATGTCAGAGCAGAGTACTGTGAATGTTACAAATTGTTCGTTGGCTATGAAATCACAGCATAATCTTGTTCCCTGTCTCTATTGGGGCGTGTCATGGGGCTGGGTTTAGCGCGGCGGCAACCCCTCCACCATTTATAATACCTGAAAATTGACCACAATCAACGGTAAATGGGCTGGGGCCGCGCTAAACCTGGCGCCTCAGCATTGACACGCAGCCAACAAGACATGGTCAAAGAGCAGATAGCTGGGCTCCGTGTCTGCCGCAAATGGCGTATGCAGCCGCATACGTACTTAACTACCTGCCCTTGACTACTAACTGCCCTTTCTTCGTCTGTTAGAGATGTGACGACGAGACGTTAAAAGTTTGGGCTCGGTGGGGTGGGGCGAGGGGAAGGGGAGTAGTACAAGCCCTCTCAGCGAGCCGAGTGTGATTTACCATTCATTCCTATAGCCGTCCTCCATTCTTCGGCTGAATAAACGAAATTATTGCAGCTCTTTATCTTTGGGTATGCAGTACGTCTAGAAGCCTATATTCAAGCTGTCAGGTATCATACTCCTACCCTCTCGCCATCCCCCCCGTTCCGCCACCTTAGCACCCAAAGCCACAAGACCAACCAGCGACAGTAAATATGTTCAAGCATTTGTTCCATGCCTAAGATCTTTGCGTGGGCCTGCTTTATTCATGGTGGCTAGAGCGATGGACGGACTTCAATGAAGTTGGGTTCGGGCTAGTTGAAAGGAAACGGACGGCATGCGTGGCCTTCTTCACTCGCTTTATGCGAGAAAGTTGGCGGAGAGCAGGGAAACTGTTAAACATGTAATTCGCGGAGGCATCCTCTGGTTGGATTTCGGTGCAGATGCCTGCTACAAACACCAGACCTCTTTTACGCTCCATTCCGACACAAGCGGCTTCTTGTGGGCTGGATAAGGCCTCAACTGCTGTTCCGGCGCACGGTTGCACCTCCCTATTTATATTCGAGCGTAGACAGAGGCGAGTAATGTGCTTGCTAGTGCTTATGCGAGTAAATCACTATACTTTAAGAACATTCTTTGTTATGGTTATAAGTTGAGCTAATGGCGAATATATTAATTGTCGCAACGTGGATTGATAATCTTCCTTTGTTGACTGATTATGCGTATCTCACACTTTCAGTCGCATTTGGAAATTCCCTGTGTGACAATTGAATTTTGGCAACTTGTATGCCATGACTGGACATACATTGTGTGTGAATGCAATTCTACGATCGCGTTCCGTGAATTCGCATACGAATGTTAATTTGGAGGATACTTACTGTTAACTATTTTTGTGTCAGGGTTAGATAATCGCTTTCAGCTGTCACTAATTGTAAGTACTGCTCCATGGGTTGGTCATAGTTGCGGTATTAGTTGAATGCTTCAGAAATCCCGTCGTGCTACTCAATCTTAGCCGAGGTCACACCGGGGTATCCAATCTGAACTGATAAAGATTTTTTCTTTATTTGATCCTTTGTCAGCTTCAGTATATACGGGTCACATCTGTCAAGCTCTGAAGCCAATCGGTTTATTCTGATGGCGAGTTTAGCCACTTTCCTGACGGCCGTTCTACAGGCATTCATAAAGTCGCAATCATAGGGGTTGGTTCCTGGAAGGACCGAATGAGCCCACCATTTTCATCACTGTTTGTTTTCACCGTGAATCGATTACTATCCGATCACTATTGGTAGACCAAGACAGCCTGAGACAGGCTCATTCTGCCCCTACAGACACTGCCGGTCCTGACTGCGATTTTTTCATCTTAGCTGGATTTGCGGTGGCCATTTTGCCGAGCTTCCTACCACCTTCTTGGAGATTTTCCGAAAATTCCCCACTTTTCCCTGTTACTCGAAGCATGAAAAACCGTGCAAAGTCAACACAGCAAAAAAATTCAGCAACGACCCCACCTCCAGCGATCAATACGACCTCTCTCGATGGGATCCCCAACGTACGGCGTGCATGATACTCAGGGGCATAATGGCATAATTCTAGAAATCTAATGCATGACAGAAGTTCCAAACTTACCTGGAGTGAATTTCGAAGTTGGGGCATCAAATGGGGAACAGTGCCAGGAGTTTTTATTCCGAGGTGCAGGTCACAAGATTAACAGAATTTCAGCAAAGACACAAGGAAAAAGTGTGATCGAAATGCTAACAAGTTCATCGGCCTCACGTACCCCTTCTTCGCAGCTGTTACAGCAAAACTCGGACTACCGATATTTGGAGCAAAGTATGTAATTAATTGTTATAAGTTTTCATAGTTTCTGGTAGGTTTCTCGTCACAACTTTCTTACAGAGTTGAACGCTCTGGAGTGCTGTTGGAGAAAATAGTAGCCAGTTTACCAGACAAGTGGTCACCACCAGTGACACGTGTGGTTGCTTATGCCTTGTGCATAGCAAGACTAAAGATGCCATCCATGACGTGGAGTAGGTTTACCTTGACTGTTTATAGAACCTTTTAAGGTATATTCACCCCATATATGTAATTCGCTTCGTCTGTTTGTTTGTAAGTTTGTAAGTTTGTTTGTTTGTCTGTCCGGAAATTCGGTTCGACCTGAAGAACGACTTGGAGAGGTCGGGTCAAGGTGGGGATGGGTAGAGCATGGGACAAGAAATAAAAAGCACACTTGACCTATGCGAAGCCCCGCCCACAGTGGGCGGGGCACTCGCTGAAATTTTGGGGTTCCGCAGAGATATGCTCATCAAAGTGGAATGAGGTTAGCAAGGAGTCGCCAGACTAACTGTGGAGACACATCCAAAATGGGCGGGGCGTACTCAAGGTGGGCGGTGCTTCTCACAAAACTCAGTAACCCCTTCTTCAAACTCAGCAACTTCTACCCTCCGGGGACGGTAAATTGGTACCAGATTCGTCTGGGAGGATAAAACACTGACTTGTACATCGGCTGGCCACCGCAAGTGTATAGGCCACATCGCATTCAATAAGCCACTACGATTCTGAATGGAAGTAGAATGCGTGCCGCATCCCACAAAGGGATTGATCAACGGCGAAGACTTTATCCTTTTATCCTTTTTAAAGTGCAGGTTTTTTCTCCGAATAGTTTCGAGCCCTTTGTGAGGGTGTAACTTCAGTTTAACATATCTTTTATGAGTAACTTGATATCGTCGCCATTAATCGGGCGGTGTCAGCAGTGTTGGAATGAGTCCGCCTTCGGCTATCTTTTCTACAGGCGGTGGGCAGCTCGTGGTCGATTCAAGAAAAGTGATGAGTGGTGGAAAACACCGCAAATGGGCTCATTCCATACCTCTTGACACCGCCCGACCGGCTGCGGTGATATCAACTCTATGTATCCATACAGCCCAGGTCCAGGTGCTGTAGCTGCAGGTGGGGCCGCTTACCGTGCGCGGTCTCTCACATTTTGGATCAAACGTCGTCCAGGCCAACCAATCCTTCCATCGATTCAGTGTCGGCTAAGGGTGTCGGACAGACGATTGAGTGAAAAAGACCCTGACCTGAACATCAGATACCCACTGTTGTCGACGATACCCCCTTTCGATGTAGTTGCTTGTCTCATCGTTTTCATGAACAGTCTCGAGTGGGCGGAAGAAGGCTAACTTTCCGCTATCTGGGATCGTGGGTATCGGTCTTCGGCTCGTAACAATCTCTCTCTGCTGAAAATTAATATTTCGAGTGAACGACCGTTTATCTACCCCACCAGAAGGGTAGCTAAAATTTCCAGCTCCCATCCCGGTTACACCCGAACAGGGTATAGCATCGTGATATGTGAGGTGGTGGTGTCGGTACGACCCCTCCTCCCTTCCTCAACACCTACCTACCACTTTCCCACATTTTCCAGTTATTTTCTTTTCACCCAAAGACTTCCCGTCGAGTCAAACGGGAAAATTTCTTAGATTTTCCCCAACTTCCCACCATTCCATTTTTTTTCCAGAAATCCCTCAAAATTTCCTTTTTCCTAAAAGTTTGCTGTCGAGGGGGATGGATATATAGTACACATGAAACAGGAAAAATCACGCGAAGTCAACAACTGGGAAAATTTTTCCCCAACGCAGCAAATTTCTCTCAAAGCCACATACGACCCCCCCCCTCTCCCAACGACCAAATACGACCCCCCTCCCCAGCGGAAAAGTACGACCCCCTATGTGTTTCACACAACTATGCTGTTCCCCGTTTTTTTTTGTTGTAAAAGGAAGAATCGCTCTGACGTCATTATGTTTCCTTCAGAAAAATATTTGCTTAAAGATCTTGATTCGAAGTTTAGTTTTACTCGCTCTTTGTTCAGATTCATTTCTGCTGTTGTGGCTCCCTTCTTTCAAACCGACTCGTCAGAAACAATTCAAAACCGAGTTTGAACAGAGCAAAAGTGTGAGTTTCTTCCAGATACTTGGAATTAGAGGAGAAAATAAGTTGCTAAAACGTATGGGATTGGGGTAGGCCATAGGCCCAAAGCTTCTTACTAATTACTCAAAGATGCGATTACATGGTATGAAGGTACTCTTGCTTAGCTAGAATTTGTTTTGATGCCATTCGTCTTGGTGGGGCATTTGCTGGTTCTCATCTACCACTGCCGAGTTTCTCTTGTGGCGACCTGTAAACTACTACTGTAAAGCAGTGCAATAGCAAAAGCTTCGTTCACACTTGAAAACAGTCTATGGATCGCAGTCTACAGAAAAAAAAGGAACGGAAGGAAAAGTTAGCGAGGTGCAAAATGGTTTCTCCAAACTAAACACCGCCAGTGTTCTAATGACAAATTCATGCAAGTATTTAGTTCATTAGTTCATGGGACATGGTGTGTTCAATTGTTTAGCGACTCTATGTCGTAAGCTATCTCCATTAGCTCCTGAATTTCGTCACGGGTCGAATTTAGCAGGTAATTTCAGCCGAATAATTCTTACTTGGTTTCCGAACTGAGAAAAGGTATCGATATGTAGCTGCAGGCGAAACAATTCCAGGATTAGATGATACCGTATATCTCATCGCGACTTGCTATTTATACACTCGTCAGTATGAGAAATGCATTGAATTGAGCACTTCGGTTAGTCTTGTGACACGCCTTCTACTTCTCTAGGATTTACCTCTTTGAAAAACAGTGCCTTTTTGTGCTTTAGGAATTGGCGCAAGGGAAGGAACCGAAACCGCAACTGCTTGCTGTGATAGTTGCCGCTTATGTTCAGGTAACGTTGCTTAGAAACCTATCTTCTCAGAGCTTTCCAGCCGTAACAAACTGGGGTTCGATTTCGTAGGGTATGGGAGCGGAAGGCGACTTCACATACTTATTTCCAACTCACTAGCAGAAATGGAAGCACTAACCTGGGTAAACGAGGCGCCGCTGTGCGGGCTGAGATAGTTAGGGGGGGGGGGGCTACATGATACAACTGAGCAGTCCCTTTTGTGCTTATCCATGTTTTTCCACCGAGGTGGTGTTCATTCGACTATTTATTCCTCAGCATAGTCAGCCTCAGAGAATTGATGAACTTGAACTTTGTTACATGCTCCTGTCTGTCAAGGAACCCTTCAGCGCGGACACATAGAGAAAACCGTCTGTCAGGGCATCGAATGGTGTGCAGGAACATGGGCTAGCTTGGAAATGTTGTGCGGACGGGACTGTGGGATGGTTGAGTGTAGAAAGAGCGTAGAGAAGTGAAGAATTTAACGAGATTGAGGGGGTTGAGCCCAAACCAGGTCACCATAGTGATTGCAGACGAATAAAGTGATTCCTCCCTCCCTTACCCGCGCAACCCCCCAACTCTATTTCTACACGAAAGCGCTACCAAGTACGTTGCAAGGATCAAATCATGTGCCATACTATATCGTTCAGTAATATTTTGTAAATATGACGAATATGTTCTAAATCCTAATAAGTAAACTAATCCGAGGAACAAGTTTCAGCTCGGCAACGTACAGGCTATTATTCGATCTGCTGTGAGTTTCTTACCAGAGATAATTAAAAACAGCTGGTGGACGCTGGAGCCCATGATTGCTGATGGTGGAGCGACTGTTGAGGTCAAACAACCCCTTTTTTGATCTTACTTTTTTATTGGAAAATGTTTTGGGCGGTTTTCGGCTTGGAGGCGGAGGGGGCATTTGGCCGTTTCGCTAAATCCTCTTGTTAGATCCTGTGAGGTAGCAGTTCTCGTTCTGGTGAGACCTGTAAACCTTTGTGAAGGCTATGAAATGCTACAAGTGAGCCACTTTGGTTGTAGCAGTTCACAGGTCTTTGCAAGGTGGCTTGTACAAGCTTCTCTGAGTACCCTTTGATGCCTCCAAGCCAAATTGCGCCAAGAATCGTTCTCGGTACGAAGAGGCAGTTGGCACGATGGCTGGGGCAGGCGGTGTACCAACGTCATTGGTGGAAGGGAGTTTGGCCACACCTCATCCAGCTCTTCCACCAATGACGTTGACAGTAACCGTCCGCCCCCAGCCATCGTGCCAACTGCCTTTATTAAGTCGATTTTTCAGGCACCTTTCTGGTTCATTCCGTGCTCGGCTGCCGGTCATTGGCTCGCTAGTATTCTGTTGAGAACACTTCGATTACTGCTTTCCGAAGCAGCTGATGATTTGCTGATTTCAACAGTAATGGTGCTGTCGCAAGTCGATTTTGCTTCATTTGGATTTGCAGCTTTCAATGAGGCGATCGCAATAGCAGAGAGCAAAGTAAGTGTTGTTCTTGTTGTTCCCCATGCGTACTAAGCCCTCAACGAAAAAGCCACCGTTGGAGACTCAGAGAGAGACCTCTTTGCTCTCGAACCCAGCCCCTTGAATAGCTCTCATTTATTAGATCGTTTGACATAGTCGATGAAATTTTCATTTTCAGTGATTTTTCCTGGAAATTCAGAAAAGCTCACTTTGGTGGTATGCCATGTTATGCATGGGTGCTCGAAGAACACCCTATGTAGATGATAGGAACTAGTCCTCCGGCACAATGTCTGTCTCTAATCAGACCTCTTTGATCCCTGAATCCCATTTCGCCTATCTCCTTATTTCTGGCGAAATCCCAGAAAGCTGTTAGCAAGTCATACGCCATACATACCCCTCCCCCTTCCTTTCAGCTCCCGAGTCCTCCTAGTTGAGGTTGCCGCAGCCATTACGTGAACACTGTGACTGTGCCTCCAATCCAATAAAGCTTGCAATTGTGGTTCCCAAAATGGCATGAGAGTGCTGCGGGCGTGGTTCCGCGGCTTTTCCTGTTGGTAAAGTATGCCTAGTGTGTGAATATAGACTTGGAAATGACGATAGATTCCGATTAAAACTTTGCGAATGCTCTCATTCGAGGAATCGTTCAAAAGCGTCGGTATATTCGACTTCATTTCGAGTACTGCTGTTCTGGATCGCTTATCTTTCATGGCTACGCAAAGACCGCAATGTTTCCTGTCAGAATCGTGTGGGAAGGTGAGTTGTATAGAAAAACCTCATATTTTGTCTTTTTTTGGACTGCTGTACTTTTATACATGGTTCCCCTGAAATTACATATACAATTACCGCTTACAGTCGAGAGCACGGACTGTAGTGTTTCTCGATTCCTCCGATGCTACAGACCTTCTCCAAAAGTCCGAGAGCGAGGTGAGAGGGGAAGCCCCCTCGATTCATCATCTGTCAGACGTTGACCGAAATTGGCAGCCCACTGCATTAGGGTGGATGGGTGTCACACCTATCAAGAAATTTCTTCACGCAGGACAAGTACGACACCCCCGCTTTTTTTTCTGCGGAGAACAAATGTTGTCACCTCTTCTGGGTGAAGATCCTCGTACGAGATTGCCTGCTATCCATACGTTGCGACGACATCATCTCAATGTTTTAATTTCTTTAGTGCCGGCCTATGATGGGGCTGGGAGAGAGTGTAAGAAAAATTCAAATTTGAAAGTGCGTTAGGCAACGCTCACAGGGAAGTCCGCGCAACTTACCATGGAACTGAATGGAGACCCTGGGTAGATCGATAGAGTCTATAAGGTTATTTACAGATACAGATAGCAAAATTGCAACCTATGTTTCACAGGCAACTTATGGGCAGGTAAAGTTTGTAATGATGCAGTAGTAGCAGGGTTCTGGATTGGTGAGCTCGTGAAGATAAGTGAGGAATCGCATACGTATCGAGTCGTGGTGGTTCAGTGGTAAGGTTCGACGACGTATGCGATTCCTCGCTTATGCTTCACAGCTCACCACCAAGCCTCCACCCTACTGCACCATTACAAACTTTACCTGCTCATAAGTTGCTTGTGAAATGCAGGTTGCAGTTTTGCTATCTATATTTGTAACCTTATAGACTCTATCGATCTACCCAGGTCTCCATTCAAAGTTCCATGGTAAGTTGGCGGACTTCCCTGGTCAGACTCAGATGACGCACGTGAAAACGCAGTAACGCGCTATCATTGTAATAGTGCTGTTGTGCCATAGACGGGAAAACAGCTATAGAGGGTTTTGATCAGCGTTGGCCCGTACTGCCCTGAGAGATCTGGGAGAAAAAGAATAGAAGAGTACGCGTTGATTAGTCACACAGTCAGGTACCCTCCTGTTCTTCCATACTCTTCCAAAACACTAGCGGCTAGCGCCGATTGGTACCAGACAGTATTATTAAGCAGTCCTACCCTCTTATTCTCCCATATTCTCTCAAAGCATCAGCGGCTAACGCTGATTGACAACCGTCTGAGTGCGTTATCAGTATTTTGGAGCATGGTTGCAATGTGACGCGTCATCGCAAACTCTGAACGCTGCTTTTTGCGAAAATGAATGGCAGAGTCACAACTATTGCGATATAGAGGAGCGACGACGCAGGTTGTCAACCACAACTGTGCACCTTGATAAAAAATGAACTTAAAATCTGTCGGTGATTCCTGAACGCCAGTGAATGTAAGATAGCCTTTTTTCAGGATAAACTTCCTCGCTCGTTTCAATTTAATCACAGATTTTTTTTGTCCGCTGAAACAGTTCTTTCCAGTGTCATCTCTGGATTTCCCTCTTTCCTTGACAGTGATAATTTTCACTCTATAATTGTCGATTTTAGCACTGAAGAACAACTACAAGGCATTATTGAGGCTCGTCTCAAAGGAACCGATGAAAACGATAGGCTCAAATCATCTATTCTCTATCTGTCAAAAATAAGCTCCGAATTGATCCAAATTGTAGAATCTCCGAAATGATCCAAATATCTATGAAAACAGAAGTTTTTCTTTGCCACTCGAAACATTGTTTTAC